TTAAAGGGATTTTGTCTTGCGATCTAGGCCCAGTACTCTAGGAATTTTATGTTTTAATAATAAAAGACTCTTACAAAACCTAGTATTTGAAAAAATCACTCAATTTTTTTTCCTTTTTTCCCTAAATGTCAGGTAAAACACAGAGGCAAACGCTTCTTTGGAATGCTTAAAGCCCAAGCACTACACTACAATAAGGCAAAAGATGCCCAACAACGACCCAAAAAACCCCACCATGAAAGAAGCAAAAGTTGACACTTGACTGAAGTGCAAAGACCTGAATTCAAACCAACTCCTTACAAATGAGGAAGCCCATAAGGAACAATTTTAATGTGAAGTTTAGCCTGTTCCTTTTGATAACCTTTGTATAAAACTGGCTACTTGACTTGGCAGACTGAAATGAGCTGGGCTGTTGCCTCTCTTATTGCCACTGTGTTGTGTCAGCGAAGCTGTTTTGAGTTCTCTGTTCCCATCAGGTTTTTACACTTGCAGTGAGATGAATGTACGAGATTTAGTATTGATGGAAATAATATTAGAACTAGGAAAAAAGGGTACAGAAAAAGGTCTTTACCTGTTTTCTTCCCAGTGCATGTCATTGGTGTGTGATTAGGCAGTGTTACAAGTAAGTTTTGACTTGTGCCATTGTTATCTAGCCTACGTGAACACAATGTGGCCTTCATGTCCATGTAGTAATTTGTGTATGTTCTAGCTTAGTTTGCCTTTAATAGTGCAGAAACTCTGTGTAGCCCTTTTGAAGATGAAGCCTTGCTATATCATGGAAGTGTATGTTGATTTCCCAAAGTATTTCTTCAGGATTTGAGTGCAGATCTATTTTTTGGAATTCTCAAAATCCCCACTTGTTCCCAACATGGAAAAACTTTGGTTTTATTAGAAGAGATTCATTGAAAGAGGTTTTAAATGTAGCATTGCCCTATCCTGAACCCTTTGGTTTCTATTTTGTGACCAGACTGCTTTGTTCTCTTAAGCAGTTTTGAGAAACCCTGTTGGAAGGTTGATTTTCTTTCAAATCATTTGGACAAAAAAAGCACAATTCCAAACGGGGGGAAGCGTTCCATGGTTGTGTTTGAAAGTGGTTTGCCAAGCCTTGCACTCACACTAAATACAAATCAAGATTTAATGGATTTGGAGGGTAAATTTCCCTCTGCTATAGGTATTTGTTACAGCAGGACTGAAGCATAGGCCTGTGCCTAAAATCAAACCCCAAAACTGGTATTATGGACGTGTGTCTGATTTTTGAGGGGAGGGAAGTGCGATCAGGTAGTAAAGCAGGAAGTTTTTCCTTACCGCTTTTAAACAGAATGAAGGAATTTGATGGCATTGGGACCATTCTTTGAATACTTTACCATGTAAGGAAGGCTTTAGAAGAATACCTTTAAATAAGTTATTACGAATTTTACCTTTACATTCCATTGCTTTTACAATTTGTTAATTATTTTTAGTTGTTTTGTTGCTTTTTCCTCTTCATGTGTAGGTGTAACAGTTCTGGCACCCTGGAACAGTTATGCCCCAGGTCCTAAGAGGCAGATACCCATTCCCAGAAGCCACCGTCTCAGATAGTTACAGATGGGCACAGTAACACCAGCTGGTTTAGAGTCAGTCGTGGAGCCTACAACTCCCTGCCTGCCTCTCAGGTGGGCTCACAAGCACATTTAGTATAGCAGGATGCAGGACAGCCACCCATCTTGGATCTGTCTGTGGGTACATAAAGACCTTGGCCGTCAAAGCAACCCCTCTCAGCACTCGTTTCACAAGGTTAAGTTTACACAGACAGATCTTAGCAAGTGGCTGTTTGACTTTCTGCTTCCTTCTACCTCTGCTCTTTACTGCTCAACTCTTTGGGCCAATGAAGGCTTGCATCACTGAGACTGCAAACTAGGAGTTTGCTTTGGAGTTGCTGGGAATTCGTTCCATCTGCTGATCACATAAGTGAAATATGGATCATGTTCTCCCTTAATACGTACTGACCGTGTAGCCCCATGTGCTCAGCGAAGTCACTCAGGTGGTGAGCTGGTAGAACTTCAGTTTCCGAAGCAGGAAGGTGGTTTTTAGGTGTCTTTTCATGAAGACTTCTATACCTTACGCCGCAGCGCTGGGAAAACAGGCTGAGGTTTTATTATAAAAGAAGACAAAAATTGTTTCACTGTTTTCCTTCTTCCCCTGTTCAAATACAAGGGGAAACGGCCTTGAAAAATGAAGTTTTCTCATGATGCCACTCAACACATTTTAGCATTCAGCAGCCTAAAAGATTTTCTGTTATAAATTCATCTAAATAACATCCAAGCATGGCACGTTATGTGGGATTAAATTATGTTCTTAGTGTCTTGCCCACCGAAGTAGAAAGATGTCTTTCCTTTGCCAAATCTGGTACGTAACAGCCAAACTCAGAGTTTGTTGTTCATCACATGAGCAAGCATGGAACCGATTTTCAGTTGAATATGTTAAATGTGTTTTCATACAGTCTAGGAGGAATAATCAATTTAAATGTCTGTTTTGTTCAATAGCTTTGTGTTCATGGTCAGTTTTTAGATTGTTTTTAATTTGAATTACTTGGAAAAGCAGAATATCATGAAAGAAAGACATATTAACGGGGGTTTCGGCATTGTTGAGGCACGTTATTCCATGTCTGACTGCTTGAGAAACTTCAGTGTCTTATTAAATATTAAAATTTATTCCTAGTTATTTAAGAAGTTGCTAATTCTTTTTTGTAAAATGGCTCCAAATCGTTATTTTTTGCACCAATTGTTTTTTTCCTTACGTTTTTAAGTCAGGTGTTACACAGCAAGCAAGAGTTCGGCAGAGAAGGAACTGGTGGTTGTTCTTTCATAGTGAAAACTTATACTCCAGGACTTCTAAGGGCTCCATGGAAATAATGTTTTCAGCTGAATGGAGGTGATACTGGTTGTACTTTGGCTTGTGTTCACACCGTTGCTTATCACACAGATATTGACACATTTTGCAGTCCTGTTTTTCCCATTACAGAGCTGCTTTCTGTTGCTTATAATTCTAGGGGCTTTAATGGTTTGGAGCTGGAATCATACAGTCCTACCAGTTCCATTCCTTTGGGTTCATTTAGCTGCCATTGGTGCTGGTGCTGCTGCTGCTTGGCCAAGACTGAATTTGACTGCACACTGCTCTTTCAGCCAGCTTTTTGCTTGGGTCTGGTTTGACTTTTTGAGTGGAAAATCCCGTATCTGACAGCAGATACAGTTGGGGTTTTAAGAGCATTTCAGAAAATTGCTTTGATACTAACAGATTACTGTTGTGCTGCAGACATCTGGTGCTGTATGTTACGACCTTGTCCTTTTGCTCCTCCTGTGATAAGCTACGTACTTTTACCAGTTGAGAAACATAATGCCCCTCTAGTAAATCAATAGTGTGAGAGAGACTGTTGCTGTGCAGCAGCGTTTGGGGTATAGGTACTATCCATGTTGCTGCTTATCCAGATTAGAATCACAGAATGGTTTGGGTTGGAAGGGACCTCAAAGTTCATCCATTTCCAACCCTGCCAAGGGCAGGGACACCTTCCACTAGAGTAGGGTGCTCCAAGCCCCGTTCAACCTGGCCTTGAACGCTGCCAGGGATGGGGCAGCCACAGTTTCTCTGGGCAAGAGAAGACCACAGAGGACAACGTACCTCTCTTCCCACCCCTTCATTCATCTGTCATAGTTGAGAGAGAGCAGAGAACTGATGTATTTTATTACTGTTGTTAGGAACACAGTAACACCTCCCCTGGGGACAGGAGAATGAGCAGCTGAGGGCAGCAGCCTCTTAACACCCCACCAGCTGGGTTACTTCAGCTGACTGCTGCTGCAGTGAGAGACTGATGTAAGAAGTAACACCTGCTTCCACCCAAGCATTTAATAGGTCTTTCACTAGTAAGTACTATTTTTACTAGCATTCAAAGAGCTGGTGAATCACACTGCTGTGCTGAAAGGGCACAGCTGGCTGGTCTGGCTGGCTCACCTACTGTGTATGAAGTACAGTGTAGGAAGAGAAGGAAGGCAAAACGGTGGGAAGATTGAGACCCATGTTACTGGTTTCATGGCACAGTTGAAACTGGTTCCATTTTAGCCTATGGCTATTTCTGAGTGCCTGGAATGTTGGTGGGACCTCAAATGGCCATGAGGACCAAAAACACAGCAGGGAAAACAGAGCAAACAAGAAGTTTATAAAGAGAAGAGTCAACCAAACACCTACACAATTCGAAATAAACCCTGTAACACAAAAACCAGATCAGGTTAACCTATGGTTAAACTGGGCTGGCTGCACAGGAGAACACTTGGAGTGCCACAGATCTGCACAGGGCAAACTGGTGCAAACATAAGTGCTGCTATCCTGGGTGAGAGGTGAATCAAACATCAGAGCAAAGAACTTTGCATGGGTACTTAAGCAATGGCTCTAGTGCAGACATATCTTCCATGGCTGCAGCGTGCTCCAAGGAACTGCCACAGCTTCTTGTCTCACCAGTGTGGCTTGGTGGAGAAAAGCCAATTCCTATGTGGTTTACTGCAAGTTTTGAGTCACTTGGTAGCTCTATTGTGAAGCATCACTTTACAGCAGGAAGCAAAAGGGACAGATTGGTGCAAGAATCAATCATTATTTTAGTTGCATGTGTTTTCCCACAGCTGCAAGGGAGGGGAAGGACATTGGCATCCTTTCCCTTGACTTACCCTTGCTTAAAGTAACGGTGAAGGTTTGAGAATGGGGGAAAAAATGCTTATTCTTAAAAGCAGGCATATTCACATTAGTTCCTGCTCAGGTGGAAGCAAGTGTTGTATCCCAGGGCCCTCAGTAACTGAAGCAGTCAGTCCTCACTTTGTTGAGCTGACTGCGGGATAGAGAGACAGAATTAGTTTCTGGTTTGTTTTTTTTCCCCTGAGGAAGAGCGTTTGCTTGTGAATGAAGGCAGTTACTGAAAGAAGAAGTCTTTTCTCCTCAGTCCATTTCAGCACAGCAGGCAGCTGGGCTGGCAGCACAAGTCATCACAACTCAACAATGGGGTTTTATTTCTCAGCGCTTATTTTAGCTCTACAGAAACAGGTTGCACATGGTTAAACATCTTGCTCATACACACACAGCTGTATTGTCCCAGGCCATAGAGAAGCGGGTGCTTGTTGATAGCACATCCTTGGTGCTTGCTGATGGTGTATCCTGCTCTACCAGCCAGCATAGACTGGCTCTGTGTGCTCAGTGCCCCCGTAAGTTGTGTGTTGTCCTGAGCCTTTGGGCAGCAATAGGGACTTCAGCAATTTCTTGCTATGTTCCGGTGTTCTTCTCAGGATAATTAGAAACACAGCAAGGATGGCACCTGGAAGGTAAGGAAGCGCAGTTGGTTTCAGATGGGAAGGTAAAATGGCAAGTGATGTTTGCTCAAGGGCTTCTCAACTTGAGTATTCTGGGAAAACAAGAGGTTTTCTCTCTGCATCCTCAGCACACTCACAACTGGGTTTGGTTAGCTAGAATAATAAATACTAAACTTCAACATTTCAGCTTTACTCTGGAAGCTGCAGGCAATAATGGCAGATTTCAATGAAATCATTCAATAACTTGCTTTCTGACCCCATTTATTCTCTGCTCCAAGGAACTGCTATTTTCCCTTTGGCATCTTCTTCGTTGCAGATCCTACCAAAGGGTCCTGAGGCATCCATTTGCTCTGTTCAGCACTTACACTGAAGCACGAGAGCTAACTTAGGTGAACTTTGGGTCTAGACTGAGATCAGGACTGTCAGAAAAACTTACTTTTAGGCTGGGCACAGAGGTGGAAATAACCATCAAATACAAAGTACTGGGATGTTGTTTGTTTCCTTCAGGCAGAGGCATAATGAGGGACAATTGATCTTAACAGGAGAGCACAGATCTGTCGCTGTGATGCACCATGGCCAGACAAACACGTCCAGATGGAGGTCGCATGAACAGACAGCCTCATGGTAAAGAACTGGTCTCTTAGACCAGCCATGACATACTCACAGGTTCCTGTGCAGGGCCTTGCCTTTCCCCTCCCCTCCATAGCAAGCTCTGCAACAGGCAGGACCTCACTGAGAATGCTGTTGAATGCCCCTCAGCCTTGTTTTCCTGATGTTCATGGCTCATTGTCCCTCTGCGGACAGGCTTTCCATAGGCTTCAGTTTAATCTAGTTTTCCTAATTGATACTCGCTTCAGATGGTGTCTGCTGTGGCAGAGTTTTGGACTACAGCCTGGCACAAGGGGTATGGGCCACTGGAGGAGCTCTCAGAGGGCTCCAAGCCGCAGCTTGACAACAGCCCTCATCTAGGCCCCTCCAGCCGCCTGGAGAAGAGCAGTCACTCAGTGCTGCTACAGCTCCTGCAGACCCTGCCATCCTTTTCTCCTTTGCTCCAATGGAGTCCTCTCCTTGGATGCCAAGAGAGGAGTTTGATGAGAACAACCAGCGCTGCTTTGCTGTTGGAGAAGCAGCTTTGCTCTCCTTGCTCATTGCAGGGAATAACACATCTATTTTATCTCCTCTCCTGCCTTTTAACAACAGTAAGCTGGACTGGAGACTGGGTCTTCAGGAGGCATATAACTTATGCTTAAGGAACCCATGGATACAAGGCTTCGTTATCCTCTGATGACGTAGTCATACAGAATCATAGACTCAGAAGGGTTTGGGTTGGAAAGGACCTTTAGATCATCCAGTTCCACCCCCCTGCCATGGGCAGGGACAGCTCGCACTAAACCACATTACCCAAGGCTCTGTCCAACCTGGCCTCTGTGACTTTAACATCTTGTGTCAAGAGAGCTACTAGCTCGGCCCTCACAGTGGGGTTTCTGTTCATCTGCATGTGCACAGGAGACAAGGCCTCTGCCCATTTTGTCTGCCCCTTAGCAACCCACAGCACTAACAGTTACTCATTTGCAGCTTATCTCTGACTAAACCTTCCCTAAACTCTGCTCAAAAGCTACAGAACTCCTATTTTCCCCTTTGCTGAGGCTACAAAAGCACAGTTGTTGTTTTGAAATGAGTATTCATAGTGTAGCTTCCAGGTAGCTGCATCCACCCACTGGGCTTACCCTACCAAGGTAATTACAGCAGGGGAAGAGGGATGCTCCACATGCTCAGTAGGTGCTGGTTGCCCGTTCTGTTGCTCACAGGATGCCCTACAGCATTGACACAACCACCAGTGCACAAGCTGACAGCACCCTGGCCTGCTGGATGCTGCACCAAGAGTTACAGAGGAGGAATGCTTTTAGGAAACTTGGAAGTCTCTTACTAAAAGGATATTGTGTTTTTTCCTACTTTTGGTCAGGTAAGAAATGCCTGTTTTGGGGTCCATACACACACCAAACATTCAGCATTATGCTACGCTTTGCTCAGAGCAAATACATCAGTATCCCTCCTTCCAAATACTGCAAGCGCTATCATCTGCACCGAAAGCAGCCACAGAGTCCTTAATGAGACATCCAGCTTTCCAGAAGCATGAACTGCACCATGCAGAGCGCTGCTGGCACAACGTGAAGGCACCGAGCTGCAGGGGCTGTCCAGTTTTACCCCTGGAAGACAGGGAAGAGCAGCACCTACCTGCGGAGCAGATGCCCAGGAGCACCACCGTGAGGGGGCTGAGCTGGCAGGAGTCCCCTCCCTTGTAGAGGAAGATCTCCATGCAGTACGTGGGCTCAGCGCTGCCCGGGGGGCAGAAGGCATCCGGAGGGCACTTGACTGGGTTCACATCAGGGCTCTGCCCAAGAGAAGAAGCAACTGAACAGGGGAGGCTGCAGAAGGTAATGTGTGTGAAGGAAATTGGCACTTCTGCATTGGAAATAACCCAGGAATTAACCTGCCATCGTTAAATCCAACCTGCCTGCCCCCGTGGTGTCACTCAGAGGAGGCTGAAGAGCAGGAAGTGTCGTTACACACCGTGTCCATGCAAACCCCTCTGTTAATGGACACACCATCCTCTGACACGGCCCAGTGAGACTGGGCAGCTCCAGGGCTGGCACAAAGGCACGCTCCCTGTGTTGGTGTTTTAGCCATCTCCCTCCATGAGGGCTCTGCCTGTGCTGAAGGCCAGAGGCTCGGATATAAAGGTGCTAATTGAAGCCTATTTAGCTGTCTTTGTTAATCTGGGATCTCAAAGCGGCTGATGGGGACTCACGGGGCAGAAGTGATTTTCGGGGCACAGGTGACAGCGCTCCTGGCCCTGCTGCAGTTGGTACTCTCCTGTCCTGCAGACCTTGCATTTGGTGTCCCTGGGACCTCTGGACGTGCCTGAAATAGCAAATGAGCACAAAAATTAACATCTGGGACGAGACCCCGGGGCCTCTGGAATTGCTTGTGGATGATAGAGCCCTCAGAGGCACAGGGAGACAGGCTGTTAAATATACCATGTGCGTAACGAAGGCTGAGCCCGGACTTTGGTCCTTGCTCGGTGGCAAAGGGGCAGGACAGAGAACAAGCAGGGCCGGAGGGAGCAAAGGATATCTGGGGTTAGATCTTGGCAGAGGGAGTGAGTAGGAGTGCAGTGGGAGATGGGTTCAGCAGTGAGCTCTGGCTTTAAAGCAGGAGGAGGGTTGGAGCTGGAGGTCAGCAGTGTTTCCTCCCCTCTAATCCTGGATTCAAACACCTCTTCCAGCTGTTTGAAGCTCACTGAGCAAAGCTCAAAGCATGGCTCTGTTTGCTGAGCCCTGTGGGAATGAGGGATCACACAATTCCCGGGTCTCAGAGCCATAAATGCTTTTCTGCACGTTTAAAATGCACAAGAAATCCCTAATGCTGTCTCGGAGTGGAGATGCAGCCATCCATGGGTGGCTGTGGGAGTGGATGGAGGGCTTTGCCCTCCCACTGCATCACCTGCTGTGGACTGATGTTTAAGACATCAGTGATGCAAGGAGCAGAGTCAGTTCCTCACCTCCCCTCACTGACTGTCTCCTCCACCACATGCTAAGCCTCCCCTACTACTTCCCCTGCTACCACTGCAGCAAGTCTATGGGTTCATCAGCGAAGCAGCCACCAATGCAGATGTGTGTCTGTTAGAACTCTATGGAGCTTTTGGCAGCCCTGCCATGGGGGTGACCAAGCCCCCCTCCAAGCCATTCACAGTGCGGATGGGGACATGTGGCATTGGCACAGCCTCCAACAGCAAGCCCTCGCCAGCTAGGAAGGGCCAAACCCCCCTCCAGCACCCTCCCGTGGTGTGCTCTGGGTCAGATGGGCCTCAGGATGAACCCCTCCTGGAGCTGATGCTCTGTGTCCCCAGTGGGGCTGTGGCAGTTACCTGGCAGGCAGGGCACGCACTGCTCCGACGCCTCCTGAAGAGCCTCTTGCCCCGCAGGACAGGGCAGACACACAGGGCAGCTGGTGGTGCTGGGAGGGGAGAGGAGGCAGAAAACACTGGAGATGAGCACTGCGACACCAGCCAACCAGAGCCAGCTCTCCCGGTTGCTTGTGGGCACCGAACGCATAGGAATCTGCTATCCCAGAAGTGGCTATTCCTTAGCCAACTTGGCTGGAGCTGGTCAATGGGCTCCCTGAAGGGGGCGGGGAGACAGACCTGGGTCACCCCTGGTTCCAGCCTCGTGGCACTTTAATCTGGGGTCAGCACAGACCTGCTGCATAACTCGGGACAGATGAGCTCAAGGCAGGGTCTGGGTTATGCATGTGGGTGTAAACCCACAGCCTCCGTGCAGGCATCCCTACAGGCAGGGAGCAGGGCCCATCGCAAGGCACCCATCAGCACCTCTCCCTCCCCAGAGGTCACAGCTCAGCCAGGCCAGTTGAGCTTCCGCCTCCTGCACACCCATACCCAATAAACACCAGCCCAGCTTCAATCTGCCGAGCCCAGCACGATGCTCAGCTCATCGCTGCGATGGTGTCAGTGTTCATCAGTGGTTTGTGATGAGGACGGTGCAACGAAGGGGTCAGCATCCTGCCAGAACCCACCACTCGTCGTGCCATCCCTCTCCCCAGGGTCAGCACCAATGTCCCTACAGCTGAACAAGCAGTGATTTCCCTTTGGCCAGTACATTGCCTCTCTAGCTCAGTGGCTGTAAGAAAACCACCCCTCCCTGTGCACCTTACAGCCAGCACCACAGGCACGATTCTTACTTGCAGAATGATCCAGGCAGGCAAGGCAGACAGAAAGCTGCATTCTGCTTGGAGCTAAAATAGCCTGGAAAAGAGAAGAGAACGGGCTCAGGATCTTTCCTCCACTGTCACTGCCCCAATGCATTGTATTTGCTCAGCTCCATTTTGCAAGCAACCAAACAACTCCCTGTGACCCACTGCAGGTGGTAGTCCATGGGCTAATGCAGGATGGTGGGGTTCCTATTTGTCAATAGCCCTGAAAGAGCCATAAACGTGTCTGTCCTGCTGAAGGGAGCGCAGGGGGCTCGGGCAGGTTTCCTGCTGTCACTCACACATACAAAGCCCTGCCAGGAAGACAGAGAGACCTGCACAACAGTCCCAGCACAACAGCTTGAACTGGAATGGAGCTGAAATAGGTGATCCTAAAGGGGCCTGGAGAGGGACTTGTGAAAGGGCCTATAGGGACAGGACAAGGGGAATGGCTTTAACCTGCCAGAGGGGAAATTGAGCTGAGCTCTTAGGCAGAAGCTCTTCCCTGTGAGGGTGCTGAGGCGCTGGCACAGGGTGCCCAGAGAAGCTGTGGGTGCCCCATCCCTGGCAGTGCTCAAGGCCAGGTTGGACACAGGGGCTTGGAGCAAGCTGCTCTAGTGGAAGGGGTCCCTGCCCATGGCAGGGGTTGGAACTGGGTGAGCTTTAAGGTCCCTTCTGACCCAAAACATTCCATGATGACCCCAGTGCCAGTTCCTGGGTTCCCCCCAGGAACTCTGGGGTGCATCTCCTCCCCCCACCGCCCCCCATAGGGGAGGACACAAGAGCCACCAACCAGGATGTGTGGCTGTTTGCTCTACCTGCACCAGCCCAAAGGGCAGGGGGATGCATGCTGACCCTTCCCCAAAGGGCAGGGGAATGCGTACTGACCCTTCCCCAAAGGGCAGGGGGATGCATGCTGACCCTTCCCCAAAGCACAACCAGGAGTAAATGCCCTGAAACACCCCTGGTGTGGGCATGGGGGGACAGGTAGGACCCAGCTTCCGAGTCCTTGCCCCACCAAAGGAGGGCAGGAGAACACTTGGGAGTCGAGGTGGTTCTGGGAAGATGCCTGACAACGCATGACCCAGGTCACTGCAACAGAGCAGGGTGAAACCAGAACAAGCTCCCTCTCCCTGCAAGGAAAAGGGACATTCCTAACTCATGATAGTGTGACTTAGGGGCACCTCCATAGACTCCCCTGCGGCCTGAACACGGTGCTTGAGTTTGCTCAGTAAAGGCAGTGCAGTGATGCCACCAGTGAGACTTTGCTCCTCCCAGACTTAGCAAGCGATAGCCCAGACATAGGTACCAGCCAATGGGTTTGGTGGGTGGATGTTCCCAACAACAGTTGTGTATGCGTGAGCAGCGCTCAGTGTGTGTACAGAGGAGCTGCTGTCTTGCCTGTGTTAATTAGGCTTTTGCATAAGTAAATGCTGGTCTGTTTTGAACATGTTTTATGCTGCCTGTGAACACATCGTACCAGGCTCGTACTGCATTAGCCAAGTGCAAAGCAGCTCACTGAGAACCCAGGTTTTAATGTCTGGGGCACAAGGAGAGTGTTACATTAATATCCAGACTGCAGAAGAACTGAAAGCAAAGATGGTTTAGACTCATTTTTGCCATTAAAAATAGGGGAATACTTCATTTTCCTGAGACCTTGTGCTATAACCGAGTTTGATAAACCTTTCCTTCTGGAAAAGGCTTCCATTGCAGTGTTAGCATTACCATTAGCTTGTTGCGAACAGGAGCGTGACTCCGAGCTCTGTTCCTTCCATTTCAACAGGAATGTCAATAACAGGCTAGGACGAGCTCTGCTGTTCCATTTTGAGCCCGAACAGAATAACCTGTGTGCTCCTCAGCGCTTGCAAGGTACCTGTAATTGCACCTGGCCATGGGGAGACAGCAGCACGGAGCCTGATGGGAGCTCGCTCGGGTGGAACACAAACCCTACCTTTGTCACAGGCTCTGCAGGCTGCGGCCCCGGTCTCGTTGGTGAAGTGGCCGGGCGGGCAGGGGATGCAGGCAGTGCTCCTTGTGAGGCTGAGAGAGAAGGGAGCAGAGGTGAGCGCGGGTTCAGGTCTCACAGGAGAGAGCAGGGCACACAGAGCAATTATAAACCCGGAGCTGAAGCAGGAAAACAACGGTCTGAACTCGCCTGGATGTTGAAAGTTCACTGCAAACAAACCAGACTCTGTGTCGTTAGAGATGGGTCCTGAGAAATGTGTTACATCCGAGCTTGAAACCTTGGTTTAAAGACAGGCTTCTAAATGCACACTTGGAAATGGAACTGAACTGGAAAGGTGCTCGATGCTCAGCAACCATCAGCAGTTCTACAAGGAGCTGCCCCATTGTGCAAAGGCAGGACACTCAGGAGGTGAAATAAGGAGCTAAACCACAGGCAGTGATGTGATCTTAAATAACGGACTGGGAAAGGGGATGCAGTGTTAGACCTCCAGGAGGAAGGCGATGAAAAGAGGGAGAGGAAGGTAAAAAACATTTCATTCATCACCAACAGAGCCAAACCCCCATCACCAAGCCTGTGGGTGTAAGCATTTGTTAAGATAAGGATGCTTTGGAGGAAAACAAGGACAAACTCCTTAATTCCTTTGGAAACCCCAGAGCAGAGCAGGATTTTGGGGGGGGAGAACCCCTCAATTGGAAACAAAGCCAATGCTTTGCTTAAAACAAAACAATGCAGGGCCTGCACCAGCCAGAGCTGCTCCAAGCTCAGGGAATGCTGGATCTCCAAATCCCACAACAATGCTAAACGGTCCCATCAGAGCCGTTTGTTCCCTCTCTCCAGAGCTGATCCAAATGGAGATGCTCTGTGAGGGACATGATGCTGGGAAGCTCTTGCCACCCCTCCTGCTCCTGCAGCTGCCCCAGGGCCAAAGGACTCCATCTGACTGCAGCAGGTATTGGACGCAGCAAGGGAAAAGCTGATGGGAAATGGTGAGAGCAGCTCATTCGTGTGTGCTTCCAGCCAGAGGGCACTGGTGCAGCATCCTGGTGATGCGGATGTACAGCATCCTGGTGATGCGGATGTGCAGCATCCTGGTGATGCGGATGTGCAGCATCCTGGTGATGCGGATGTGCAGCACCCTGGTGATGCGGATGTGCAGCACCCTGGTGATGCGGATGTGCAGCATCCTGGTGATGCGGATGTGCAGCATCCTGGGTGAGGCAGCCTGGTGGCATTGCAAGGCTGGGCTTCTGGCTGGGAAATCATGTTAGCTCTTCCACACTGGATCAGCTAATACATTGCTTTAGGTGCCAGTGACTTAAGTGTGATGAGATCCCTTAGAGGCAACAAAATAGGGAATTGCGAAAGCAATTGGACAAAGCACAGAGCTGAAGGCAGCTGGCCAGAGGTATCCTAGAGGAAAGCTGAGGAGATGAACCCACACCTCACTCCCCAGTGTCCCCCATCACAAAACCAAACGTATTCCCTCCTAATACATACAAAAGACCATGGGGTAAAAATCAGACAGCCTGCAGAGAGCTTGGGCCGCTGCTTGGCACAGGGATGCCCACACCAGGGTTTCCTGGGGAGAAGAACTCAGCAGTGCTGCAGAGGCACCCACCTTCATCTTGTGCTTCCCACTGGGAAACAACCCTACAGCCAAAAGGAGGAGATCCTGCTGGCTGCAAAGTGCTTTAAGGAGGCTCACCCACCGCCCCGTGCCCCAGAGCTCAGTCACTTACTTGGTGTAATGCCCCCGCGGACAAGGCAGGCACGATGGTTGCCCGCTCTGGGGCTGGTAGTGGCCCTGAGGGCAGGGGGTGCAGGCACTGGGGTCTGTGCACGAGCCCCCCGCACAGCACGAGCAGCTCAAGGTGCCTGAATTGGAGGAAAAAAGCCGGGATCAGGTTTATCAGCATTGACATGAGCCCCTGTGCTGGGCAGGGCAGGGCAGGGCAGGGCAGGTCACTGCCGTGGGCGCAGATGGGTTGCGATGCAACCGTTCCGACAAGGCAGTCTTAGAGGATGGGAAGTGTAGGATCAATGCTAATGATGCTGTGGTGCACCATTAGCAAGCTGGAGAACAGCTGTGAGGTGATGGAAGGTCTCAAGTCTGTCAATGTGGGTTTCTGGTAATGAAGATGCCTGCTTTTTTCTCCTTTAATTTGAGGAGCATTGGTTTTCCATCTAACACACAAACAAAGAAGGAAGGGAAGAAACCCCAAACCAAAACATATTTCCTTGGGTTACTGACAATTTAGGCCTGCAGGAAGCAGAACTGAAGAGTAAAACCCCAGAGCAGAGGATCTGCCTAAAGCAGCAACAGCCTTTCTCTGAGCACAGGTACCAAGGCATTCCCATCAGACACAGGCTCCAGCCCTCCCTGCTCTCAAACCAAACCCAAGCGGTGCAGGGTATTCATGTGGGATTTGCTGCCCTGCCACCCCACTGCTTGCCCTTGGGGCTGCAGCAACCACACACAGGTAAGAAGGGACAACCCCTGTGGATGAGCATCCTGCACTTGAGGGAGGTTGGAATTAACTCCTGTCCTCTGGATTCCCCTAAAGCAGCAGAGCTGCTCGCTCCTCTTTTCAAACACACCCTGCAGTGGGGGAATGAGCAACAGGTACTTTAGGGTGCTCACAAAAACCCCAACCACCTTACACCACAAATAACGTGTGGAAAAGGTGTCATTGTGCTCTCCTGACCACAACACGGATTGATCCGGTAGTTTCTCAAGCCCAAACGAAAAGGCTGTTTCTACAGCAGAGATTCTCTTTCAGACGTTTGAGACAGACGGTCAGAAGCTGTCCTTGTATTTGCCACTGCACCTCAAAACAGCATCCTCCTGCCAGTAAACCCGGTTGTGCCACAGCCCTGCTGCTTCTTCATCCTACTGGAAGAGCACAGCATAAGGCCAGCAAAGGCCAAGTCCTTAACATCAGACAGGGGCAATGAATTGAGTCCCGCTCCTGCTGCCTGACCCCTAACACAAGAACAATCCCTGCTTACACCACCCTTGACAAGTCACTTTCCCAGCCAGCACGAGCCGAGCGAGCAGACCCTTACCTCCATTGGGAACTGTCCCTGGGGCGCAGCGGGCACAGGCTGTCACGTTCACCATGCTGCAGTTTAAGGGCTTGGCGGTGGTGAGGGATGGAGCTGCTGGTGGGACCCCAGAGGTGGTCATGCCTGGAGGGGATGCACTGGTGGCTGCAGGCATCGGTCCTGTATGCACCTGGGAGGTGCTGGTGCTGCCGGAGGCGAGGATGGCCACATCCATGGTGGTGGGCACAGCCTGAGCAGGAGGGTTTGTGCTTGGAGCAGCAGACGGTGCTGCTGTGGATGCAATGAGGGCTGCAGTGGTTGAGGCCACCCCAGCTGGGAGCGTGGCAGTGGCACCTGGGGGGGCAGAGGCTGCACTGGTGGTTGCAACGGGAGGTGCTGGGGTTGATGCAGTGGGGACCTCATTGGTGGTTGTCTGGCCTAAAGCAATACCTGGGAGAAGAAAAGCATCATTAGGGACCAACGTGTTGTTACCCCTTTAACAGAGCTTTCCCATTTGGTCTTCATCAGCTGCTTAACCTGTATCCTTGTTTGAAACTACCTTCTGCTATGGTTCACTACAGAGCCACACAGAAGCAAGGAGGAGAACACTGGCAGCATCTGAGCATCCCTGGCGCACAAGAGACTTACTGAGGAAACAAATAAGCAGGTCCACGAGGGCACAACTCAATGCCCAGGAGGTCTGATCTCCCAGCTGAAATGGTGTGAGAATCGCCTGAAACACTCAGTTTTATTAGTGACAGCTCCGAGACAGTTTACCTGATGTGTCACAGTATCACAGTATGTTAGAGATTGGAAGGGACCTCAGAAGATCATCTAGTCCAATCCCCCTGCCGGAGCAGGAACACCTAGATAAGGTTACACAGGAACGTGTCCAGGTGGGTTTTGAATGTCTCCAAAGAAGGAGATTCCACAACCTCCCTGGGCAGCCTGTTCCAGTGTTCCGTCACCCTCACTGAGAAGAAGTTTCTTCTCAGGTTTAAGTGGAACCTCTTGTGCTCCAGTTTGTACCCATTGCCCCTTGTCCTTTCATTGTTTGCCACTGAGAAGAGCCTGGCTCCATCCTCGTGACACTCCCCCTTTATATATTTATATACACTAATAAGGTCACCCCTCAATCTCCTCTTCTCCAAACTATAGAGACCCAGCTCCCTCAGTCTTTCCTCATAAGGGAGATGCTCCACTCCCTTAATCATCTTAGTTGCCCTGCGCTGGACTCTCTCCAGCAGGTCCCTGTCCTTCTTAAACTGAGGGGCCCAGAACTGGACACAATATTCCAGATGAGGTCTCACCAGGGCAGAGTAGCCTGACAATCAGATTTAAGATGCTTGTCAAGTAGCTGCCTGGTTTATCCCAACTCGTTTAAAGGGATCAGCAAGGAAAAGTCATGGGTTTGGGATTTTTCTAAGCTGTTCTGGAGATACATCCAGTAACCAGAAGGGAACCCACAGGCCAAGACTGGCTTTGATTCCGAAATCCCCTGTCAGAGTGGGACAGCTCTAATCCAAAAGGGGTATTGCTGCAGTTCAGGTTGTTGTGTTGTGATACTGAAACACTGCCTGCTGAGGACCACAAGCACAGGAGATGTCTCACAGAGGAGGGACCTACAAAACTAAACACAAGCGGTATCAAGTTGGTGTTAGCTTAGCACTGTGGTACTAAGCAAAGGAAGCAATCAGAAAAGGAATAAGCAGCTCCTGCCACGTCAGCTCGGGTCAGGCACTCGGGTCAGGGATTTGCTCAGCATCTGAAACCTTCCAACTTCATAGAGCATCAGTATGCAGCTGTGGCCGGTGATGTGGTGCTTACATGCTCTCCCACCAGCACACCTCTGCTAAGCCTCTACAGCAAGAGGAGGCTGCACTCCAGTGGCCTTTGGTGTGGAAAGTGAAAGGATAGCTTGAAGAAACTGCTTTATGGGTTTCAAGGAGCACAAAGAGCGGAGCTGAGAACCAGCGGTGGGATATAGGTGAGGAAGGACATGAGAGCAGGGTGGGAAGCTGGGGGCTTAGAGGGGCTGCACCATTGACTGGCTGCAGACCCACAGGTCCCTGCAGGCTTTTTAGAATCATAGAATGGTTTGGGTTGGAAAGGACCTTAAGATCATCCAGTTCCAACCCCCTGCCATGGGCAGGGATGCCTCACACCACACTGTGTCCCCCACAGCTCTGTCCAACCTGGCCTCTATCTCAGTTTTGGCTGCACCAGGCGAGGCCAGGCACATGGAACCAGTGCTTATCACCACTATGGTATGAACAACACACAGACCGAGCTGACTGGTAACTCCAGTTGGGTTTCTACAGTGAACTCAGGACTCTGAATAAGAGTCCTGATAAAGTCATGATCACGTGGAGAGAGCTCACTGGGAGCATCCCTGCTACTGCACACTGCCTGCTTTGTACTCCACTGAGTGTGAAAACCCCTCTTTCTGTCACTGTCGAGTAAAGCTGCACACAAGCACCCAGCCATCTGGGCCATTGCCCACGTTTGCTCACTGTGGCCCCCAAACCAGAGATGCTGAGTTTAACAGTGATCATTCTGTGGTGCATTGGTTTGCCACAGGCCCATATCCAAGTGACCTGGAGACGCCATCCTTGCTTCTAGGCAGGGAAAACAGCTCTGCGGTTCCCCACCTCGGCCATGCCTCCACCTGGACCGGGATGAACAATTCCCCTCCTCTCCTCACCTGCCTTAAGGGCTGAGTCTGCTGCTCCTCTGGAGCCTGGCAATGAGCAGAGTCCGTCTTTGACTCTCACTGAACTGATCTCAAGGCCAGCACCAGCACTAAGCCAAGGGCACTGTCAAGTCCTCCTGGGGGCAGCTCTCAGGATGACCACTGGGATTAAAGCCTGATCTCCCATAGGGCAGCCTGCCCCAGTGCTGGCTCCGCTCTGCCAGCCGGGGATGCTGCAGGGGATTTCAGCCCTCCGGCTGCACGCAGCTGGGTGAATCCTGCTGTTGGGTTGGGGTTTGTGCCATGCTTTGGCACTGGGCTCTCACCCCGAGAGCCTTGAGGGTGTCAGGAAGGTGACGGAACTCAACTGCAGAACTTCCCTTCCTGACTTACAAGGCCCATGGCCCCGCTGCTGTGTGAGGCACACGGACATGGGCTGGGAACTCAGCAAATGCAGAAGCAGAGCGGACACTCCCTTGGTTTAGTTCCCTCTGTCTTGCACAACTGCACGGCCTCTGCATCCTGAAACCGATCCTTGGAGCCAAGCACAGCACAGCCAAGACAACAGTGACACATCCAACGGGATCATGGAACCCCGGGCTGGAAGGGACCTCCAGGATCAGCTGGTCCAACCTTTCCAAAGCGTGACCCAGCTCTCCCAGGGCAGGTGAAGGTGAGCACCATGGCTGGTGAATTCAGCAGGTTTTCCCCAAATGGTTTAATTTCACCAGTGCCAGACTATGGCTGGTGCCTGGTTACGGGCTCAGGCTGCCCGAGGTGCATGCAGCCAGGGTGAGGCTCGGTGGGTAACTGCTCTGAGCACTTCTGTCCCTGCCAAGCAAACTCAAACTGCTCCAGCAGGGCTGATGGGTTCATACTCAAGAAGGGAGGTGCCAGCAGGGCCCCCGGCTGCCTCCAGTCCCAAAGGGACATGATCTGAAGCACAGGTTTTGCAGATCCCACATGGTACAAAGTGTGAACTGTAAGAACACAGATTACCTGGGTTTGATAGCTAAGAGTACAAAAGGATGACAAGAACAAGGAGAAGAGCACACATGGACACGATTACAAAAAGCATTCATGCATTTTTGTGCATGCTCTCTTGCAAAGACCCAGTTACCGAAACAGCCCAAGAAAGCAAACGCGTTGCAGCATCCTGTTCCACGGAGTTCAAGATAAAGCCATGAAGAGGCAAATCCTCGGTACTCACAGTAACAGGGCTCCGTTTCCCCTCCTTGTAAACACAAGGTTTATGTGCTCACCACATTCAGCCCACTTCCACCACTGCCTGCATTTCAACTCTCGTTTCCTTTCCTGCCTTCTCGCCCTGTGCTCCTGCAGCACCCCGAGAGGGTGAAGCCCAGCCCTTTCACACACCCACCACAGCTTCACCCAGCTCCATCCCTGAGCCGAGCAGCACCCATCCGGAGGACTCACCCGTTAAACACGCCGTGGTTAAGCTCCAGAGCAGAGGAGGGGCCCAGGCACTCATTTTCCCCACGGAATAACACAGCTCGTTGGGAGGCAAGACCAGCCGCTGGTCTCCTACACCCAAGTGTTTACGCTCCTCTGGGTCTGTGCCCAATATCATCACCTGACTCTGATCATGCGCCTCACTCAAGTCAACCTCCCCCCAACAAAGGGGGGTTTATATCCAGAGGCTGCAACAGGTCTTAAGACCTTACAGGCCCTCTCGAAGCGCAGGGCGAGCTGAACACTGAGCTCAAGAGCACACCCAAGCCTCTTCTTGCAGGGTGCAGACAAACACACGAGAGAAGTGTTCAGGAGGAAGCGATGGGCTCATAGAGAGGGATGGGCAGAGCCATGCAGGAGCCCTGTGCCGGGCTGCTGGCCAGCCCCTTGTGACCACATCCAGTGAAAGGATTTCATCTTTTAGACACCCAGGACTGCCTGCAAGAAGAAAAACAAGCCCCAGAGGGCCTGTGGGTCAAAGCAGCTCCTGGTTTAACCGAGACCAACCATACCCTAACCCACTGCTGTGTGCAGAGCTTTCTCAGTCAGTGTTTAACTCTTCCCCCATTGCACCCAAGTGTCAGACTTGATGCATGAGGGTGCTGTGATGAGGATCCTACTCAGCAATCCTGATGATGCTGATTTTAAGGTGAGGCCATCAAATGTAGTGAGGTCCCATCCCATTTTCCACATGTTACCTGGGGCTATCCTGCTCTGAGGCCAGGTCCTCCTGCCTGTGCTGTCCAAGGACACAGATGCGGTTCCCTCACCTTGCAGCCCTGCTTGGAAAGGTCCCCCTCACCTCTCTCTGTCCCCATCAGTTAGTAATCAGCATCACTGAGCCTCTGCCGTGGTAGAAGATTTCCTTTTGCATACACCTGAATACGAAGACCAAATCCTCACAGATGTCAACATCCACATCTCATGTCTGTCACACCTTCCCCCCGTTCAGGGGACAGCTGGCTACTCATGCAGACTGGGGATATCCCACATGCAGACCTCACCAGCCATGTGTTCAGTGAGCAGATCAGGCACTGCCATGCGCTGCCCTCGTCTTCTGTGCTCGAAGACCCTCTATGGGGCTCAACACGGTGAGCCAGCAGTTAGTGTGTTCTAACCCAAACCTTCCAGCTTCCCTCCTAGCAGCCCAGGCAGGGTCAGTTTGGCATCACACATAGTGCCCCGACAGCTCCATGCTGCAGGGGTGCTCACTCCCCACCATTACACAGCCACCCATGGGCTGGGAAGTTGTGCAAGGGAAGTTCCTCATGCAATCCCTGTGCTGCTTCCTGCACAAGCCACACAGAGAACACAGCCCCCACTGCAGGGGATGCCAGCAGTCAGTCCCTGCCCAGGAGCCTTCTCTGGTACCCACAGCTTGGCCAGGGACACTCTCTTCTCCTTCAGCCTCCAGCAGCAAGGGCGATAGGCTCTCAATGTGACATTTCTCACCTTGGCTTTATGGGTTTTACAAGTCTCTATGCAGGATGTTTGATCTCTCTCTGTGTCAATAACAACCTGGTCAGCCCAGGCCTGTGTAGAGCTGTCCATTCAGCAGCCCAGCTGAAGGGCTGAGGACCTGAAGTGATGAACTTCTGCATAAGCATCATTGCAGAATGATGCAGCTCTGTGCACTGATCAAACACCACCAGCAGCTACCCAGCAAGGCTTACTCTGTTAGAGCAGCAGATCAGTGCCCTCCATACCACAGCCTGCACCCCTTGTTTGTTGAGAGCTTTCCACAAAGCCCAAGTCCCAGAGCAAGTCCTGAGCAGCTACAAGCACATGTACACACACTTAGGAACCGGATGCTGACACCACTGTGGCATCATTTCACTTGTGACTTTTGGCCTGACACATGGAAGAGAAAGGGAAATTTCATCTTTAGACCCTTTCCTGTGTCCTCAAAGCCACCTTTGTGGATGAGCTACCGGAGCCCAGCTGGGAAGGGGGGCAGGCTGCTTTCCTCTCAGTTGTGTTAACAACTGGGCAAGCTGGAAGTGCTCTTCTGACAGGGAAAGCCTGATGCCACTGCAGGGCAGAGAAGTACAAATGGGTTCATTTAGAAACTCCTGCCCTGCCCTGGCTCTGTCTCTGTTGAGATTAAACTCTTCTGCTAGTTGGTTCACAGAGAATAAAACCAGTGTCATGGCTGATCAAAAGCGACGTCCCAGGCTGGCACAGGGCCCTCTTGTCACTTTAGTTACTCTCCCATGGGTGGTGAACCTCATGTCCCCAGATAAACCAGACACTGCCTTCCACCCTCAGAACCTGGCTGGCTCCTTACAGGGCTGAGGCAGCAGTGGAGATGTTGCTCCCAGGAGCCTGGAGAGGACAGACATCCTCTCTGTCCAAGGCTGCCTGGAACCATCCCTCAACCCAAGGTGGGTAGGTAAAGGATACACCATTAGAGATCCCATCTGCTGAGGGCAGGGCTTCCAAGCTACCCAGGCATTACAACAAACTCAATGGCCAGGACTGTGCATCGATGCACTGGACTGTGCATCGATGCACTGGACTGTGCATCAATCAGCTGCAAGTGCTCTGGGTGTTTGATATCCAAGGGACCCATTTACAAGGAGAGCCACTTACTTAGTATGAAACACTGGGCAGGAAGAGTCTCTCCAGCACCAGCCCTCTTTGTAACACCAAGCTGCCATCACTTCAGCTTTTGTTAACTGGATGCTGTGGGGGGAAAGCCCCCAGGTGAGGTGCCACCTATGGTAAGGATGGTGGAAAGGAGGGGAATGCATGAGCAGAGAGTGGGTGGACACATGCTGAAATGGCAACAGTCACTGGGTGAACTGTTTCAAAGGTCAGAAAGTCCCTATTAACTGCAAGCAGCTGAGAGCAGAATGAGCACTTGATTACTGTATCCTTAGGCTCTTCCAATGATTATCCACCACTCCACCATCACTGCCAGAATCCTGGGTTTAACAGAGCTTTCCTCTAGTGCCAAGTGACTGCCGTGCTCCAAGCTGAGCAAGCTACTGCAGAACTATCTTATTCCCATTGTGCCAGGGAAAATATAACGGTCCCTGGTGCACAGCATCCAGCTGCGTGACAAGACTATGGTCCTTTGGCAGTGTATTCCTGTTTTCCTCCTCCTGTTGCTGAGCTGGTACCTGCAGCTCTTTCCTGGGAAAGAGAAGGTATTCAGACAAACTGCATGCTGGCTTCTGACAGGTACTTCTGGAAAAGAACTTTTTCAGGCAATACAGCTTGCAAGCCATACCCAAACCCAGCTGCATATACAGGAAGTACTGGCCAGGAGGTACCGGTTCCTCCTTTGCAGACAAAAAAAGCCTGACACCCATGGGATAAACTTAGCCCACGGGCTGGGAAGCAGCTGGGAATCTCGAAGCCTCTTTCAGATGCAAGGTTTTCCAGGTTCTAGGTATATGTTGACTCATCAAACAGCACAGGAGCTTCAGACCCAACAGCCTGCAGGTCAGCAGAGTACACAGAGCTTGTGCTTCAGCACCTTACCTGGAAAACCCTGCGAGTGCATGTGGTGGATGAGCCCCCGGCCAGCAGGAGCTCTGCCACAGGATGATGACCAGACTGCTCAACGGTTCCAGGTAGATCCTGAACTCAGTGGGCAGAAAGGAGGCGGCTAAGAGCCTCCCCCATTCAGGTGAAGAGAGCAGCGCCTGAATGATACCTAAGCCAGCTTTGTGCCCAAGGGAGGTACACAGGTAAGACAGAAAGGAAGCAAGGCAGAGCCATCAGCGCTCCTGAAGGAACGGGCACACGGCTGTTGAGAGCACAAAACCTAAACCCTGTACCTGAACGAGTGGCCACAGGATGGCACCACAGCTCCGGGAGCGAGGGCGCATCGCTGGAGTCAACACTAAAGCGTTCTGAAGGGTAGCGCTGCCCTTGTCGAGCTGCGCCAGCAGAAACCTCCACCGTCGGTGCTGTGTAAGTGAATAACAAAGCCCAGGAAAGGGAGCTGGAGGAATTCGAGTCATAAAAGGGGTTAGTACAGTCACTATCAACTCACTCAAACCACTTCTTTCTCGGGTGCTTGGATTTTAGACAACTCCCCTGGCAATGCTTCATACATGTAGCACGTCTATAGCTCCAGGTCTCAAACTTTAGGAACGCTGACGGGGCAGCTGGTGGTATGTAACAGTAAACCAAAGTACTTCAGGGATGGGGTTTCACAGGCACTGTATCACAGAAGACATAGAAAGCAGAAGCTGTAACTCAGAGGAACAGCTTTTAATGGCTATCACCAAGGCCTCTGCAGAAGAGAGACTGAAATGTTACCCAGAACTGTATTCTACCCAAAAGAGGAGAGATCTGTTTAAAGACCAGTGCAGGTAGCGTTGCTTCTGCTGTCTGTGCCCACAGCACTTGGGAGAGGGAAAGAGGAAAAAAGGCTGATTTCCATTTAGGAGCACCTGTGGTCCCATCCAGCCAACAGCACTGAATCAGTGCAGATGACCACAGAATCTTAGCACAAGCAACAGCAGTCGTGAGAGCTGGTGTCTCCAGGCCTCCGAAGCAAAGGAGCAGCCAACAGTATACTTTCTACTGAAAGATGAAAAGGGGAAAAAGCAGAGAGATTATGCACTTTAATGGCACCAAACGATGTATCAGACACTAAAACCAAACTTACTTGCTGCTGAATGTTTTAATGAGCCACTTTTGGACAAGCAGATTGTTTTCTGCTTGTTCGTGATATTTCCACCAGGAATGAGTAAATGTATTTTAATACCAAATAGAATCATAGAATAGTTAGGGTTGGAAAGGACCTTAAGATCATCCAGTTCCAACCCCCCTGCCATGGGCAGGGACACCTCACACTAAACCATGTCACCCAAGGCTCTGTCCAACCTGGCCTTGAACACCGCCAGGGATGGAGCATTCACAACCTCCCTGGGCAACCCATTCCAGTGCCTCACCACCCTCACAGTAAAGAATTTCCTCCTTATATCCTATCTAAACTTCCCCTGTTTAAGTTTTAACCCATTACCCCTTGTCCTGTCACTACAGTTCCTAATGAAGAGTCCATCCCCAGCATCCCTATAGGCCCCCTTCAGATACTGGAAGGCTGCTATGAGGTCTCCACGCAGCCTTCTCTTCTCCAGGCTGAACAGCCCCAACTTTCTCAGCCTATCTTCATATGGGAGGTGCTCCAGTCCCCTGATCATCCTTGTGGCTTCCTCTGGACTTGTTCCAACAGTTCCATGTCCTTTTTATGTTGAGGACACCAGAACTGCACACAATACTCCAAGTGAGGTCTCACGAGAGCAGAGTAGAGGGGCAGGATCACCTCCTTCGACCTGCTGGTCACGCTCCTTTTGATGCAGCCCAGGA